TTCCTACACATCCCCAGGCAGCCTGGGGAAAGTGGTTGGCTCAGGGTTCGACAGAGGGAAGACAAAAAAATACTATGTTAAGATGATTAAAAAAAAAAAGAAAGAAAAAAAGCCAGATCAAAAAAAGAAGTACATACTGTGGGTAAAACCTAGAAAATACAAACTAATCTACAGTGACAGAACACAGATCAGTGGCTGTTTGGAAAGGGGAGGCAGGATGGAGTGCAAAGGAACATAAGATTTTGGGGGGTGACAAGACATGTACCTATCTTGACTGTGCTGATGGTTCTATGGGTGTATTCAAACGTCCAAACTTATCAAATGGTACACTTTGTGTTCAGTTTATTGTATGTCAATTACACCTCAGTAAAGCTGTTTTTTTAAAACACAAATTTCTGGATTCTATCACCAGAGCCTTTGGCTGTAAAAATATTTACCCATTTCGTTCGATCAAAATCAATCATTTTGATAGCTTCCTACTGAAGTCTAAATATCCACTCACTTAATAGCAAGTATGATAACTTGGGAACATAAAGTGACTATTTTTCAAAATTATCTCAATATAGAAGCCACTTATACTACAAAGTATTCATCCTGGTGGATATGGAAAAACATGAGGGATAGTAAAAAAAAGGATTTATGAAGTTTAGCTTTCTAATGGCTAAGCAGAAATAGTATGATGACAAAGAAAATGGGGAGGCAAAAATAAACAGAAAAGCCAACGCACCTATGGTCATCTAATCTATGACAAAGGAGGCAAGAATATACAATGGAGAAAAGACATTCTCTTCAATAAGTGGTGCTGGGAAAACTGGACAACTACATGTAAAAGAACAAAATAGAACATTCTCTAACACCATACATAAAAATAAACTCAAAATGGATTAAAGACCTAAATGTGAGGCCAGACACTATCAAACTCGTAGAGGAAAACATAGGAAGAACACTCTTTGACATAAATCACAGCAAGATCTTTTTTGACCCACCTCTTAGAGTAATGGAAATAAAAACAAAAATAAACACATGGGACCTAATGAAACTTAAAAGCTTTTGCACAGCAAAGGAAGCCATAAACAAGATGAAAAGACAATCCTCAGAATAGGAGAAAATATTTGAAAACGAAGCAACTGACAAAGGATTAATCTCCAAAATATACAAGCAGCTCATACAGCTCAATATCAGAAAAACAAACAACCCAATCCAAAAATGGGCAGAAGACCTAAACAGACATTTCTCCCAAGAAGATATACAGATTGCCAACAAACACATGAAAGGATGCTCAACATCACTAATCATTAGAGAAATGCAAATCAAAACCACAATGAGGTATCACCTCACACCGGTCAGAATGGCCATCACCAAAAAATCTACAAACAATAAATGCTGGAGAGGGTGTGGAGAAAAGGGAACCCTCTTGCACTGTTGGCGGGAATGTAAATTGATACAGCCACTATGGAGAACAGCATGGAGGTTCCTTAAAAAACTAAAAATAGAGCTACCATATGATCCAGCAATACTACTCCCGGACACATATCTGGAGAAAACCGTAATTCAAAAAGATACATGCACTCCAATGTTCACTGCAGCACTACTTACAATAGCCAGGACATGGAAGCAACCTAAATGTCCATTGATGGATGAATGGATAAAGAAGATGTGTTACATACCATCTTTGGAAGATTACTGGAATATAACTCATCCATAAAAAAGAACGAAATAATGTCACTTGCAGCAACATGAATGGACCTAATCTAAAATTAAAATTGGAATCTAAAAAATGGTACAAATGAACTTATTTACAAAACAGAAATAGAGTCACAGATGTAGAAAAAAAAACTTACGGTTACCAAGGGGGAAAAGGGGGGAGGGATAAACTGGGAGATTGGGATTGACATACACACTACTATATATCAAATAGGTAACTAATAAGAACCTACTGTATAGCACAGGGAGCTCTACTCAATATTCTGTAATGACCTATACAGGAATACAATCTAAAAAAGACCAGATATATGTATAATGTACAACTGATTCACTTTGCTGTACAGCAGAAACTAACACAACATTGTAAATCAACTATACTCCAATAAAACTTAAAAAAAAAATTTAAACAGAACGCAAGCCTAGTGTTAACACTAGTAAAACGGATGAAACCTATGATAATTAGACAACAATAATCTTAATTTGAAGAAAGGCATAGCATGGTATTCAAGTAATGGGTAACAGAGAAAGGCTGGTGTTCAAAAGTCCAGAAATAACGCTGGAGACTAGGATATAGCAGATTCTACTGCCATCTTCTTTTTCCTCAACATTTGTGCATCATGAGATAGGCAATGTTATAACTGCAAAATAAATGTCATAAACCTGTTTCATTAACTAAGCATCAACCTTAAACTTGCTTTTCTAAAAATTGGTTAGATGTGGGATATATGTTAGGAATCATGATTTTGTACCTTGTATCAAATGCTTTATCTATTTCAAACAAACAACGAAAATTCTCAGAGCTCTATTAACAAATGCTAATTTCTATTGATATAATAATAAATACCATAATTCAACCAAGTTGTAGATGGCATATAAGTACTGTATCTTCAATATAGAAGGGATATCAAGTTATTAGTGATAATTTAGTCATTATTATGAGTTAACATATTTTGTTATTTAAATGACATTCATCCATAATTAGAGAAGGTTTTTGCCTTCTTCAACTATCTGTTTTTAAAGGACTAATATTAGAAAGTTGGTAGTTAAAATTTTTCCCCCAAGTTATGTATGCTAAAAGAAGAAAGTAAAATTCAGGTATATAAAAACAAGTGAGTTAAGTTATGGGCAAGTGAAAACAAAAGGACAAATTTTAATGGCATCTCTCCTAATTGTACCAATATATCTTACAGTATACTTTGAAGGATATTACCCAGTAACTTCAAAAAGGAATAACATCCAATATATTTTATTATTAAAAAATAAATTAAGGGCTTCCCTGGTGGCACAGTGGTTGAGAGTCCGCCTGCCGATGCAGGGGACACGGGTTCGTGCCCTGGTCCGGGAAGACCCCACATGCCGCGGAGCGGCTGGGCCCGTGAGCCATGGCCGCTGAGCCTGCGCATCCGGAGCCTGTGCTCCGCAACGAGAGAGGCCACAACAGTGAGAGGACCGCGTACCACAAAAAGAAAACAATTTTTTTTAAATAAATTAATTAAAATCTAAAGAACGGTATTATATACTAGCTACTTTCAAAAAAGAAGAGAAAGAAATAAAAGTAATTTGAGATTTAAGGTTAGAAAAGAAAAGGTAGCAAGCGGAGAATCTAACAATACCTAGATTATTAAGCTAAAAATTTTTCATCAGAACATTTCACAAAAATCAAGACACTGGTAGGAAGGATATGAAATCACTTAATTCTGTCTGTTAATAAAATGGACTATTCATCTGTTCATAATGAAGTAAACAGAGGAAGGTTTTCATTTAAATAAAAAAAATAAGTTAGAAACTAAAAGGAATCCCATAATGCAAAGGTTTCACTTACTCTGCATTTTTTCAAGCATTCCAATCTTACTCAGAAATAATACAAGATATCCAAGGGCTTTAAAATCTAAGGCCTTTAATTAGGTTTTCAGTAATGACCATAAATGCCTTCTCAAAACCCCTTTCACTGAAACCAGAAGGCACTAGGCATTACATAACACCCTGAAAGCAGTGATTCCTTCTGGTGCTGGTGAAGATACACATTAAATGGCAGGTTTTAGATCTTAATGTCTCCTCCGGGAAAAAAAAAAAAAAGACAGCTCTGAAAATCACCCCAAAAATTAAAGTTATCAGTCTTTCTCAGGTTCCCAATGCAATTTTAAGTTATTTTTACAAGTACATAATTTGAAATTAATAGATAAACCCAGTAAGTATGATATGGTTTTCAACATGTGTTAGGCTTTTTGTTAAGTACAGTAAATATGAAGATACCGTTATTATGCTAAGTGGCATCCTTTGCTTCTCTTTAGCTGTGCAAAATAAAGTTGAAATGATACATCCTGTAGTGGTATAATTTAAAAGATCCTTGATATGACACTAACAACTTTCAAACTCTGGTCACAAACTACATATAAATTGTTAGATTATTAAAATACACCTTTTTGAAAAATAATAAGATGACCATTTATACCTAAATAAGGTTTCCCAGGAAGATATGAAATACTTTAGCATATAAAAGTAGTTTCCCCTTTTCCATGAGGACAACTGTTGTTTCACAAAATAACTCATGTGATTCAAGGCAAATGATTCCTTTCAAATGCCACATTCTCTCCATGACTTTGAGGTATGCTTCAAGAGACTTGTATCCATGAGAAAAGGGCACATTTGGATAGAAGACCACAGTTACAAACACCAAGGACCCTTTCTTAGGCCAGGAGTGCCCTTAAGAGTTACATTAACAGAGAATAAGAGATAGCTCCTGAAGCCATTTCTTTTACAACCTACAACTAAATTTGGATATGTAAAGGGTAATTCAAGACACAGCTATTTACATATGTGCTATGTCATGTGTGCCTATTTTAAACAGTGGCTTCTTCAGGACACTCCTATTCAAACACTAACGAAAAAACCTTATTCTACCAAACCACAATCTTCTATTTTTGGCAAGGTAGTATAGTGTAAACAAAACAAAACAGAAACAAAGAAAAACAACCATGACAAAAAACTAGCTATAACAGTGATTGAGGCAAAAGTTCCATGTCAAACAACAGTAGGGAAAGTATTCTGAGAAATATTAATTTTGGGGGGAAAAAACCCTACCAAACAAATAATGCTAGAAATCAATCTTATAATCGCTCAAATGACTATCACATAAAAGTTTTAGGGCTTCCCTGGTGGTTGGGAGTCCGCCTGCCGATGCAGGGGACAAGGGTTCGTGCCCCGGTCCGGGAAGGTCCTGCGTGCCGCGGGGCGGCTGGGCCCGTGGGCCGTGGCCGCTGGGCCTGCACGTCCAGAGCCTGTGCTCCGCGGCGGGAGAGGCCACAGCAGTGCGTACCGCAAAAAAAAAAAAAAAAAAAAAGTTTTACAAATTCCTTTAAAATAAGAATAGTTGTTTTAAAAAGTAGCTGATTATGAGGTTTATAATTAGAATGTCTTTGAAAAACAGACAAGCTAATTAACTTGGGCCCAATTAGCAAAGGGTAAGAGGAAATAAACTCTTCCATAATTAATACTAGATGTCTTCTTCCCTTTGGTGAAACAGATTAAATTTGAAACTGGTATAGAAAATAATGAAATGAAACCTCTATGACAATTGAAAAAAAAAAACACCAATGCCACTAATAATGAAAACAATGGGAGGCAAAAAACATATTTTTAAGCAATGATTACTCAAAAGAATGCCTTATAAAAAACTACATATCATAATCAAGTTAAGAAAAAGCTTCAAGACTAGCAGCTGGGCTTTGTGAAACACGTAGGACAACGGAAGGCACTACAAAAGCATTAATCACTCCTAACTACAGTCTGACAGTTCAGTCTTTTCCTTCTTCTTAAGAAGATAGCCAGTGTGAATGTCATTTTTATATCCCCCTGAGTTTTATCATGATTGGGCAGAGAAGCACCAATTTAAAAAAAATATCTGCAATGCCAGCACTGCAGTTTGGAATCACTTAAACTGATGGCCCCACAGGTCTCTCATAAGAGCACTTTAGAACATGATTAAAAATATAGAAATGCCTTTTGGTGTTTCAGTATTAAAGTGGAAACACCACAGATATCCATTTTTTTAAAACTAATGCACTAAAAAGGTCTGTTTATACAGTATAGTCTTTCAACCCTGTAGCTAGCATTCACGGCTATTTTCCGCTCCGAGAGATCTTGGGCGTCTGGTTGAAGTGTCAGTATGCTTCATGGTGTACAATCCTTTTGGCTGGAAAATCCTGGCAAATATCATGTCATGCCCGTTTTGAGCAGTATGCCTTGTAGGTCCTCTGGCAATGCTAAAATAATTGCATCTATGTGTGTCCGTAACTTTTCCATAGTGTCAGGTTTCACGGGTAAATGCTCTCGATCAGCCTGCAACTATATAAGGAACATTTGGAAGCATTTAAATTACCTTTTGAGGCTGTATTAATACAGTATATTCTCTAAATAAACAGTTTTAATGGTCAAAGATTTGGAAACTTCAGACTGAGACCAGAATTTACAGAATCTATAAAAAAGCAAAGAACATGCCACTTTAACAATACAATTGCTGAGCTCGAAAAAAGACTTCATGTAAATTAATAGATAATATCAACGCAGACCATGTGGTATTAAATATAAGTCACAATGTTTTTTGTAAAGCTCATTAGACTCCATGTAAATAACTAAAAAAAATATATGGCTTCATTATGATCTGCTTGAGTGACCAAGTATTTTCAGTCAGATCTACCATCAATTGACCAATCATAAGTCCTCTCATTTAAAAATTTACTTCTGTGATACATCAAAGCTATCACCTCAAATAAGAGCAAAACAACTTCACAGATCTTTGGCTGCTTTGGCTACATACCAGCTTGTTTTTTAGCTTCAATACAAGGTCTACTGTTTCTACTTCTGTGTGTTTCTGGGTCCAGTGAAGTAAGTCCTAGAAGAATAAACAAATCTCAAATCAGTAAATACTCAAAATAATATTCAAATCGTTCTATTTCAATAGGCAAGGCTACTGGGAAGAAAGGACAGGAAGGAAAAGGAGAACAGGGTATTTAACCCAGACATAGCATTATAGTATAATTCTGTACATAATATTCTGACAATGTGAATCAGATACTTTTTGACATTAGCCAGAATGACTGTCTAATATTCAGAAGTAAAACACAATGGAAGAAATTCCTTTCTGGCCCTTTTAGATCAATCAAGAAAAACAAAATTGGAACTTAAGGTACGATACTAACCCCTAACCCCAGTAAGTATTGAGTAATTTATAAGGTACATCAACTAACAAATCAAGATAATTGCAAACATGAATATATTACTGTATACAAACTTTGCATCTTCAAATAAGCTCTTCCTGGGCTTATTTGTCGTTGCCTTCATGGTATTCTTTCTCTGAAAACCAGTCACTGAGAGTTTATGATTAGAAAGTTAACACTGAGGCTAGCCCACCTCAAGCTAAACACAAATTGAGACTATCCTTTATATTTTTAAAAGTAGCTTAATTTAAAATAGTCTGCTGACAAATTATAGAATACGAAAAAGTCCAAATACAGGAAAAATATATTAATAACTGGGAAAGGTGAATAACGCATGGTGGAAAAGGTGTTGAGTTAGACTGCTCGGATCTGAATTCTAACTCCATCCAGTGGTGTGCTAGTAAATATTTAACAACTGGCTCTCAGGAAAAGTTCCTGGTTTATACCATTTGCCAGTTGCTCTGGTGTAATTCTCCCTCTGTAGCTGATTTCAAGCTACCAACCTGAGATCACTGAATACAGAGCTGGGAAGAGATGCACACGGCTGGCTCTTGTGAGCCAGTGCAAGTGGGCTCGAGCACACTGCTGGTTCCACTACTTAGCAGTGATGTGATCTGAAGCAAATCACTTAATTGATTAATGGATCACTCAAGTGTCTCAATTAATCACTCAAGTGTCTCATAACGCAGATCATAACACACCTACTTCAATGAACTATGAAGATGAAAAGACTGTCCATTTAAAGCACCTGCACAGTCCTTGGCACACAGCACATGATCTGGAAAAGTTAGCTATTACTATTTGTAAAGTAGTGGATATGGATATACTCTTTCAGCCTCTATGAATAACTTTATTTTCAATAGTTGTTAATCATCACACAAACATGCTGTTTTCTAACCTCTTCACAAAGAGCTTCCAGATGGAGTGCCTCCAGTTTCTGGGTCATTTCCTTCCTCCGGGTCTTGAACCAACCATCAAAATTTGGAGATTTTAGAAAATGCCTATAAAAATAAATTTTTAAAAAGCAAAGTTTGATTATGACTTAACTTCCTCTCAATACTTTTTCTACCAATAGCTAGGAGAACCATGTGAAACAATGTAATTTTTTAAAAAAAGAATATGTTGGATTTCCCTGGTAGTCCAGTGGTAAAGAATCTGCCTTCCAATGCAGGGGACGAGGGTTCAATCCCTGGTTAGGGAACTAAGATCCCACGTGCAGCGGGGCAACTAAGCCTGTGCGCCACAACTACTGAGCTCGCGCACCTCAACTAGAGAGCCCACACGCCACAACTACAGATCCCACAAGCTCTGGAGACTGTGCGCTGCAACTACAGAGCCCACGTGCTCTGGAGCCCCTGTGCCACAACTAGAGAAGCGAAAACCCACACAACACACCTAGAGAGAAGCCCGCACACTGCAATGAAGATCCTGCATGCCGCAACTAAGACGCGACGCAGCCAAAAAATTAAAAAAAAAAAAAAAAGAATATGTTTAAGCCCAGTTTTTTGTTTCATTTTTAAATAAAGCTCTATAGATGGATGAAATAGAAAAAAAAGGACCAACCGGTAAAGTCCAATCCAATCGCCTTTTATTCTAGAGGTCAGCTGAGGTCCTGTTTTCTCAAGTGTTTTCATAAATTCTCCTGGAAGGAACTGTCTTAATTGGGGTGGACTCTAGAAAACATGACATACTGTATTTTAAAATTAAAAATGGATATATTCACAGAAGTTAACTGCAGTTAGACAACTCAAATAGGAATTTAACTGAATATATTTATACCTTCCATGGAGAAATGCTTTTCTGCAAAGGCATCAAGCTTGCCACATATCTTTCCTAAGTCCAAGAAAAAAAAGTTAGTCAAAGTTAGGTGTCCTTACCGAGAGTCTTCAAAAATGTTTAAACTGACCTACTTAAAAAAAGTGGGCTTCCAAGTTTTTCATCATATGCTCTTTCAATGGACATCAACAACACCATCACCAGTCTCAATAGATACACTAAATTCAGATTGAATTGAGAAGTCACACTTTCAATAAAAATTTAACTAAATCTCAGATAATCCAAAGAACTACCTATTTTTAATGATGATAATTAACCTTATCGAGTAACTGTGTGCCAGAAAATGTACTCAACATTTTACATGCGTGATCTCTTTTAACTCTTGCAACTATCCTTTGTGGCAGGTATTACTGGGAAACTGAGGCTTCGAAAGGCTAAGTAACCTGCCCAAATTCACACAGCTTGAACTTGAATTCAGGTGTACTTGACTTCAGCCCATGCTCTTAATTAAGCACTACAGTAAAGTTCACTTACTTAAGCAAGTTGATTTAAATGGAACAAAATAAATTGACATCTATAGACTAAGAAAAAATATTTCTTCCCAAAGTATAATAGCAAAGATTTCCAGACTGCCCTCCTATAATATTCTTAGATAGATTACATTAACAACTACACGAGTCTCTCTCTGATGCAGTCTCCAGACTAGGACCACATCACGGTACTGCCTTATACTGTGAGGCATAACTTTTAGTAATTTAACATGATGTTCCACTGAACTTCAAAAAATAACTATATCATCTAGTCATTTATTTCGTAAATATTTATTGAGTGCTACCATGTGACAGACTGAGGAAAAGGTAATGAACAAGACAGATAAGGAACTACGTCACGGAACTACATTCTCACAGGTATCATATCAAATTGTGCTCAAGAAAATAATATCAGATTTCAAAACTTCTGCTCTTTCCATTATAGTAAATGCAGATGATAATGGCAGCTACCTCACAGAGTTGTTAGGAGAATTAAACAAATTGTTGGTCTCTAGCGCCAGTGCTTGGCAGTCTTAAGAAAGCACCTGTTTAGCTCTGCATAGTGAAGTTCTTCTTCCCAGTGAAATCTATTTAGCCCAGACCATGATCCTAGGGAACTGCTATTTAATTCTTTAGAAAGTATAATCAGTAAACATGTTTTTTCACCTGCACAGTATCCTGGGAATGTAATATTGGAAGTCTTGGGTATGCTCTGCAAGGAAGAGGTACTATTGTAGGATCTTGGACTAATAACAGAATCCTAAAATGTTCAACCTCATCTCTACCCCAATGCCTCCTTCAACCAGTTCAAGCTTTGTCCTGATACCTCAGACGAAATGGAAATATGAGCATACAACATCACTGCTTAAAACCTCCCCATCTGCTTGGGGAGCACAACCTGACTCTCTTAGCATGAAATAAAAAGTACCGATCAAAAATAAATAAATAAATAAATAACATCAGAGAAAGAAGCTCCAGTAGAACCTTTTAAGGTGCAAAATTCAATAATTATATAATATTTCATAAAAGTTATCTCATTTAAGATTCACAACAACCCTGAAAAGTCTTTATGGGAAAGTGTAATCAGCCACATTTTACAGATAAACAAACTGAGGGTCAAAGAAAGGAAGTGACTTACCAAATTACACAGCTAATACCAGAACAAAGAATTCAGGTGTCTTGCAAAGGGCTCTATTTTAATCACTACACACACAAGCATGCAAAACAATTTAAGATAAAGTTTTGGTGGATGAAAAAAACATTCATGTGCCCTTCAACAAATCATTAAATTAAGCAAATACATATGCTAACTTACTAATGGAATGATGAAGCTTTGTGTCAGTTCCAAAAAATAACGTCGGAGAATGACGCTTTGAGCCTCAGAAGGACGCTTCTGCTGTACACCCTTAAAAGAGGAAAAAAATGAGAACCTATACTCTAGTGTCAGAGAATACAAAACAATGAATGCTTATAGAAGTTTAGCTGATATGTAAATATGTATTTTACTTGATAGGAAAAAAACCCTAGAACTTCATCTTGAAGTAATTTAATGTGAAGTTCACTGTGCAATATCCTGTAAAAAAATCCTTAGAGAAAAATATAAGACATTCATCCCATACTTTAAAATATTAGCTCACAACAAAGACTATATTTATTTCATACTTGTTGTATTAACAATATTTACATTTTCCAAAAAAATGCTAACTATTCTGTTAGGTGTTAAGCTACCTCATAGTACAGTCCACGACTTTCTCACTATAACTCCTAAGTTTTCAGGAAGATTGGCACTAGGTTGGTAGCTGCAGTCCCATATTTCTAGCCCATAATTGCTGCTACATTAGTCTCCTGATTTTCATGAAGCTTTGGTTCAAAGTCCAGAGTCCAGAAAGACCTCTTTTCATATTATTGTACATAAAGCACATGTTGCTTTACTGGATACTGCATACCTAAGTAAGGAAATTTAAATTAATAATATGAGCAAGTAATCACCTTCTGCAATTGTTTCATGATTTCTTCATCTCTATTTAGATATGGCTTATAAGAAGTATAAACTCCTAAGAAGTAAAGAAAAGAAAATGAGGTAAGCAGTATGACCCATTTACCCATATAGTATATGTTTTAAAAATTAATAAAAGTCAATACCAGGTTTAGAATCCAGAGTCTTTAGGTTCTTCAATTTTTTCACTTTAACCTGCTTAGGAATTTCACCTGAAGGAAACATCATAAAGATTCTTATAGTTATTTGAATTTCACATATCACAAAACTGGAATTTTCTAAGACTGATAATCCACTAACTGTTATGTACTTAGTCAGGGATGCTGTAGCTAAGGTATTCTTAACATCAGTGAATATTTAAGAGTTTATTCCTAGTACTTTAAAACTGGATAAAGGGAACACTGGGCTATATAACAGCATTACAGAAACAATTGTGTAAATTATATAAAATGGATATTTGATCTTTCATTAATATCTATCACTACTTTAAAATTTCCCTTTTTTTCACTCAACTTAAAATTTAAAATCTTTGTGCTAAATATATGAAACATGAACAAGATACCATTTTGAATATGATGCCAAATATAATACCATTTAAGAGTAAAGAGAATTGAAAGCAACTCCTAAGTTAGTATGAAGATGTAGTATTCAAAGATTTTTTTTTTCTGGTACCGCCCCAAATTCTGCTTTTGCAGTGTAGAAACACTGCCACCAGGTGGTGATAGTGGAAGCCACAACCACAGGCCTGAGCCACAGGTGGACTGGACTCTGGACTCCTAAGCAGGGGTGCTGTGTTGCAAAAAGGAGTATGAAGTAAAAGAGAGAAAAGATTACAGGATGAAATGTATGCTTTGTTGAACACTGCTCCTGGGTAGAAAGAAAATCTGAAGACATGTGCAGCAAGGAAAGAGAAGAAAGTGAGCTACTGTAGCTCTGTGGAGGAGATTTAAAAACAAGAGGCTTTGGGGACAGACTGAGAAACAATAGGAAAGAGTCCAGAAACACTCAGGTTTCTGGAATGTTTCTGATTTATTAGCTCACAGTTTTTACTTTGTCAACTTATTCTATATATTCCCACATACTAATTCTTATTTATTTATTTATTTTTTGGCTGCATTGGGTCTTCGTTGCTGCAGGCGGGCTTTCTCTAGTTGCGGTGAGCGGGGGCTGCTCTTTGTTGTGGTGCATGGGCTTCTTATTGCAGTGGCTTCTCTTCTTGAGGAGCAGGGGCTCTAGGCGTGTGGGCTTCAGTAGTTGTGGCACGCGGGCTCAGTAGTTGTGGTGCACGGGCTTAGTGGCTCCATGGCATGTGGGATCTTCCCAGACCAGGTATCAAACACGGGCCCCCTGCATTGGCAGGCGGACTCTTAACCACTGCGCCACCAGGGAAGTCCCCACATACTAATTCTTACGAGAATGTCTCTCATCTTGAATGTTATCTCACGGTTTTGCTTTCCAGAGTTCAGAGTAGCTTCTCGGCAGAAGATTTGTAAAACTTTTTTTTCTTAAAGTGCGGAATTAATGCATATTTAACTATACAGATAACTAAATTCAAATCACTATCTGCCTCTGCCTCTGAGAAGCCAAAGAACATCACATGTCAAAACCACAGCGCTTTGAATAAGTCTAAATATTCCTGTGCCTACTTTCTGTTTCCTTTTGTCTAGATCACAAAGGACTTGCAACTCCTGTATCCACCAATGCCATTTATTATATATTATTTTCTGAAATTCACTGTGCAGAGGAACCAAATATCAGGGAAGAGAATAATTCAGCAGTAGGTTTCATATATTCTTTACATTCAATAAGTTCTAGGTAACAATGAAGATATATAGTGATCCATATCAGCTTTTTTTAAAAGGCAAAGGCAAGAATACTACCTGTGCAGCAATCTTCACTCACACAATTCCCCTCTGATTCAAGGGACCTCATCAGGTGTAAGATGCATACCGAACTCTAACCCTAGCCACCATAATTCTTACACTGCAGTACATAATAGACATAAAGAAAACTAGTCATAAAGATACACTATCTATTGCCAAAAAAAGTTAAATGGTATTTGTCAAATACGTCTGGAAAATAAAATAAGAATGCCAGAAAATGAACTGAAGTCCTACAATTACAGCTGTTTATTTTAATTAAAAAATAATTATTCAATGTCTGTTATGTACATGCACATAAGAGAGGGGTTTAACATTATTAAATTAATAATGTTCTGCACCTCTGCACATTTGCATAAGAATCTTCTACATTTAGGTCAAATGTTTTACCTTTGATTAAATCATCAAACCCAATTTCTGGTTAGAAATTCAGTTTATAATGTGATCCAATATACACTAGTAGAATTACTTTCTCTTTGAGGAATACTTGTTCAGTACCATTATCCTAGCATTACATTTCTTCATTTAATAGGATTTGGGTGAACTAAAACTAGGTATAACCCATAAGAAGTAATCCCTTTATAGCACGAGGAATGACCTCTCTGCAGGGTTAAAACTATATATATGTTTCTAATAAAGCTACGAACTTCTGGGCCCAGGAGAGCAAAATCTCAGTTCTGCTATGCCTTCCCTGCTGGTCCCACAGAACATACTTTATCTGCAGTTTTACTGACCCTCTCAGATAGTCTTGAATTTTCAAAGCCAGGATCCTAGGCAGAGCTGTTGTGTTTCCTAACTTGTGTAGCATATGCAGTGGTCCTAGTCTTGAGATCAATGGGTAGAAAAGAAATATATCCCAATATATATGCCCAGTACTCATAAATTAAAAGACAAATGGATTTTCATGAATGTGATACCAAAAACAGAGACAATAAAAGAAAATATTGATAAATTGGACTTCATCAAAATTAAAAACTTCTGCGCATCAAAGGATACTATCAAGAGAGTGAAAAGACAACCCACAGGAGAATATATTTACAAAGCATCCATCTAATAAGGCATTAGTATCCAGAATATAAAGAACTACAACTCAACAAAAAAACCAACCCAATTAAAAAACAGGCAAAGTGGACTTCCCTGGTGGTGCAGTGGTTAAGAATCTGCCTGCCAATGCAGGGGACACGGGTTCGATCCCTGGTCCGGGAAGATCCCACATGCCGCAGAGCAACTAAGCCTGTATGCCACAACCGGCTGAGCCTGCGCTCTGGAGCCCACGAGCCACAACTACTGAGCCCATGTGCCACAACTACCGAAGCCCACGTGCCTAGAGCCCGTGCTCCACAACAAGAGAAACCACCGCAATGAGAAGCCTGCGTACCGCAATGAAGTGTAGCCCCCACTCACCACAACTAGAGAAAGTCTGTGCGCAGCAATGAAGACCCAACAGAGCCAAAAATAAATAAATTAATTTTTAAAAAAAAAAGGGAAAAGGACTTGGAAAGACATTTCCCCAAAGGAGACATAGAAATGGCCAATGAGCACATGAAAAGATGCTCAGTATTACTAATCATTCGGGAAATGTAAATCAAAACTACAATAAGATACGACCTCATACCCATTAGGCTACTATCAAGAAAACAGAAAATAACAAGTGTTGGTGAGGATGTGGAGAAATTGATACCCTGTGCACCACTGGTGAGAATATAAAATGAAAACAGTATGGCAGTTCCTCAAAAAATTAAACATGATGAATATATGGTCCAGCAATTCCACTTTTAGGTATACAGTTGACCCTTAGGTATACATGTTGACCCATGTTGAACAACATGGGTTTGAACTGCCCAGGTCCACTTATACATGGATTATTTTCTTTTTCTGATGAATATATACAGTACTACAAGATTTGCAGTTGGCTGAATCCACAGATGTGGAACTGTGGATACAAAGGACCAACTATGGGAGTTGAACATCCTCGGATTTTGGTATCTGTGGCAGGTCTTGGACCCAATCCTCTGTTGATACCAAGGGATGACTATATACCCAAAAGAAGTGAAAGCAGGGACTGGAGATATTTGTACACCCATGTTCACAGTATTATTCACATAGCTAAAAGATGGAACAAGCCAAGTATCCATCAACAGATGAATGGATAAGCAAAATGTGGTATATACATATGATGGAATATTTTTCAGCCTTAAAAAGGAAGGAAATTTTGACACATACTACAACATGGATGAACCTGGAGGACATTATGCTCAGTGCAATAAGCCAGTCACAAAAGGACAAGTAGGTAGAATTCCACTTACATGAGATACCCAGAGTAGTCAGATTCACAGAGACAGAAAGTGGAATGGTAGTTGCCAAGGGTGGGGGGTGGGGCGATGTGGAATGAATAGGGAGCTACTGTGCAATAGTTTCAGTTCTGCAAAATGAAAAGAGTTCTGTGGGGAGATGGTGGTGATGACAGCACAACCACGTCGATGTACTTACTGCCACTGAACTGCACACTTAAAAAATGATTAAGATGGTAAATTTTATGTTATGTATATTTTACCACAGCTTTTTAAAAAAAGGAATAAAATTCTAAAACATGCTACAGCATGGATGAATCTTGAAAATGTTATGCTAAGTGAAATAAGCCAGACACTAGAGGAGAAATACTGTATGATTCATAGAAACAGAAATTAGAATAGAGTTCACTAGGAGCTGGGAGATGACAGGAATGAAGAGTTATTGTTTCATGGCTACAGATCTTCTGTTTGAGATGATGCAAAGTTGTGTAAATGGACAGTTGCACAACACTGTTAATGTACTTAATGCCACTGAATTGTACACTTCAAAACTGTTAGAATGGTAAATTTTATGTTATATATATTTTGCTATAATAAAAAAAACTTTAAGATAAGTGGGAAAAAGTATCGTAAACATACTAAACTTAATGAAATTCTGCACGTCTGTTAAGACCTGTGCTCAAACGACACAATCCAGTCCCAGAAATAGGTACTATAGTCTTGCTCAAAATTATTTAAACACCCCTGGTGTCATTGCTCACAATGTATCACTTCTACTAATTGAACAAGGACCAAACTGAGGACATTGACACTCTACCATCCACTCCTCAATGACCACTAAGGATCTATAAAACATGTTTCCATACAACATCATCACTCTCCTATAGAAAAAGTGATACCTTTTTCTATATGATATGGTCCAAATGCTCTGGTGACAAATAATCAGAGGGAACACAGCATCTCATCCCTAAAATAGGCTGCTTAAAATAAAGTGTAGCGTTTCCCTGGTGACGCAGTGGTTGGGGGTCCACCTGCCGATGCAGGGGGCACGAGTTCGTGCCCCGGTCCGGGGGGATCCCGCATGCTGCGGAGCGGCTGTGTCCGTGGGCCATGGCCGCTGGGCCTGCGCGTCCGGAGCCTGTGCTCCGCAACGGGAGAGGCCACAGCAGTGAGAGGCCCGCGTACCGCAAAAACAAAAAAACAAAAACAAAAACAAACAAAAAAATAAAGTGTAATTAATATTCCATACATGCCCTTATGCCCATTTTGAAAAATAAACTCAAGAAGTGTCCCCTTCCCTCCCTTGGTCCTAGGTCCTACTTTTAAATGGTAACTTCACCTGTCTGAAGAGGATTCTCAGAGCAGCAAAAATATCAGCTATCAAGACATCACAAGAAAAGAATATCCCTCATGGATAAAGATGTAAAAATCCTCAAAAAAAATTAGCAAACTAATAATAATAATAAAGGACTACACATCATAACCAAAAGGGATTTACTTAAGGAATGTAAGGTTGGTTTAACATAAAAAATCAATGAATTTAGTATACTGTATTAATAAAGGACAAAAAGTACACGATGATCTCCACAGATACAGAAAAAGCATTTAATAAAATTCAACACCAATTCATTATAATCTTTTTCAGCAAACTAGGAACAGAGGGCTACTACCTCAACTTGATAAAGGACATCTATGGAAAACCTACATCTAACATCATAATTAGTCCTGTATATTGAAAACTACAAAACATTGCTGAGAAAAATTAGAGAAGATCTAAACAATGGAGAGACATTCCAAGTTCCTGGAATGGAAGACTCAGTATTTTTAAGATGGCAATTCTCCTCCAAACTGATTACATATTCCCTATGTAATCAACACAATCCCTAACAAAATCCCAGTTAGCTTTTTTGTTTTCTGTCCAGTTGGCAAAAATTGGCAAAGTAATCCTAAAATTTATATGGAAATGCAAAACACTATTTTGAAAAAGAACAATAAAGCTGGAAGACATATTTCCTGATTTCAAAACTTACTATAAAATTACAGTAATCAAGAGGTTGTACTGGTACAAAGATAAGACATATAGATCAATGCAACAGAAACAAGAGTCCAGAAATAAACCCTCAGGTTTATGGCCAACTGATTTTCCAAAAAGGTATCAATGCAATTCAATGGCAAAAGGATAGTCTTTTCAATAAATGATGCTAAGACAACTGGATATCAACATGCAAAAAAAGATGATTTTATACCCTTACCCCACATCATAAACAAAAATTAACTCCAAGTGGTTCCTAAATGTAAATGCTAACACAATAAAATTTTTAGAAGAAAACATAGAAGAAAATCTTTGTGACCTTGGGTTAGGCAACAAGTTCTTAGATAAACATCAAAAGCCTAATTCATAAAATAAACAAATTGAGAAACTAGACTTCATCAAAATTAAGTACTTTTGCTCTTCAAAAGACGTCCTTAAGAAAACAAAAAAGAGGGCTTCCATGGTGGCACAGGGGGTCCCTGCCACTGCAGGGAACACGGGTTCGAGCCCTGGTCCGGGAGTGTCCCACATGCTGCAGAGCAGCTAAGCCCGCGCACCACAACTACTGAAGCCCGCACACCTAGAGCCCGTGCTCTGCAACAAGAGAAGCCACCACAATGAGAAGCCCGCACACTGCAACAAAGAGTAGCCCCCGCTCGCTGTAACTAAAGAAAGCCCGCTCGCAGCAACAAAGACACAACGCAGCCAAAAATAAATTAATTAATTAATTTTAAAGAAACAAAAAGAGAAGTCAAATACTGTGAGAAAATATCTGCAAATCATATATCTGAAAACAAACTTGTGTCCAAAATAAAGACCTCGTACAACAAAATAAGACAAATAACCTAATTTTAAAATGGACAAAAGATTTAAATCAACATTTCATAAAAGAAGATATACAAATGACTAATAAGTAGATGAAAAGATGCTCAACATCATTAGTCAATAAGAAAAAGCAAATTAAAACCAGCATTTTAAACCCACTAGAATGGTTATAATGAAAAAAAGAGACCATATCAAATGTTGGCAGGGACGTGAGGAAACAGGAGCCCTTATACACTGCTGGTAAGAATGTAAAATAGTGGGTCACTCCAGAAAACAGGTTGGCAGTTTCTTAAAAAGTTAAACAGACTTATCAACCCATGCTACTTTACCAGTGATCTTTGCAAAAGTTCCTCTACTTACAGCCCCAACAGAAAGCCTTTTCTTATTGGAAAAAGACAATAAACAGTAGTCTACTATATTACGATTAATCAAGTAGTCCAGATTAATAGGAAAAAAACAAGAAAGTAAATGTCAAGATTAAATTAAGATTTTAAAAAAAAAACCTTTCCATATCTTCTTATAGATGAGACTCCGGTGACTGCTGTGCTCTGAATTATCAGACAGAACACTAATGAAATGGCAAGGGACCATGATCTTTACAGAGTGCCATAAGTCAGATACTGTGTTCAATCCTCCCAGCAGACAAAGAATTGCAGGCTTAAAGAGGCTGTTCTGCCTAAGGTCACACAGATCTGACGGCCAAGGTAAAGCCCTTTGCCCTTTCCTCTATTTCATAAGGTTTCTAAGGATTTCAGTCTAAGATTGAGTCTGATATTTGTAAATAATATGATTTAAAATGTTATTCCCTAATATGTCATCTAGATTTATTTATATTCCAGAAGGGATATTTTATAAAATAATCATATTAAATAATGTCTTAAATATAATACCCATGTACACCAAAGGAAAAGTCTTTAAAAGTAACATATCATAAAGTTATTAGAAATATTCTAGATAGCTCACGTCTCAACTATTTCCATGGAAAATTCAGGAATGTCCAGTGAGAAAATGTCAGAGGTACCATTAAATTGTCATCCAGGTTAACAAAATTGCCAACTTCAGAATCATTTACTCATTTAGTAAACATTCATTAAACAGCTACCATGAACAAGGTACTACATGTCTTTTTTCAAGGAAAGCGCAGCCTTTTGACCGCTTCCTTAATCAATACCAGTGCCACAGAAATGTATAATTCTTGTTTGGAGTCCTAGTTGAGAATTTTGTGTCAAATTGATTAATTAGAACTTTCTATAAGGTTTTATTCAAGCAGTGTTGGAAAATCCTGTTTAATTGGGCTTATACATATACAAAATGTAGCTCAAATTTTTGAGGTTTCATGAAACCTCAAAATAATTCAATGTTTAAAACACTGTAAGTGCCTTTTTTTGGTAGGTGGGCACGATGGGTTATACACATAAGAATCTGTATATTTTAGCTGGAAGTTATGCTCTTCTCCAAAGGCTCTTATTCAAGTTGCCTCAAAGAAGGTTGCCATCAACATAATTAAAAAGTAACGAAGCAGTGAAAACAAAGGAAGAAATAAACCTGCTCATCCACCTTACATACTACAACGAGAACACCAAGTTTATACTTTACCTGCAGGTTTAAGGTCTCCTATCCGAATAATGTGTGGCCAGTGCTGGAGTGTTTTTGCAAAAAAAGGGTTGGTTACTCCTAATATGACTGAGGGCCTACATTAAAACAAAACAAAACAAAACCAAAGTGAGGAAAAAATGAATGTTCCATCAGTTTACAATTTATTTTGAGTGAACTACTGTTTACTCAAAGATTACTAAGATAATCTTTTCCTTCATTGGTACCACATATCAACTACATTCCAGGCACCATTTTTAGCACTAGGTATATAAAGATGAAAAGACACAGTCTTTCTAAAAGCACACAGGAAAAGCGGTATACATAACCAATTATGATACCAGAAATTAGAATACAGTGAAGGTGGTATAAAATGTACAATTATTACAAAGGAGAAACTATGTCTACCAGGGGATTAAAGGACAGCCTCACCAAAGAGATGACATTTGCACAAAGCTATGAAAGATGAATAGGAGGTTTTTTTTTGAAGGATAGTTGATATATAACATGATATAAATTATGAACAGGAGTCTTGCCAGGTGGATAACGGAAGAAAATGTGATGCAGGAGAATGAATAGTATGTGCAAAGCAATGAAGTGAGATCACGGTCTGTTTGTAAAACTACATATAGTTCAGCATTCCTAGAGCACAAAGCAGGAAGAATGAATAGTCAGAAATGAAAGCAGATGGGCAGATGCTGGCCAGATGATTCAGTACCAACTTAATATGCTAAGAAATTCAGATGTTATCTTGTAGGCAAACAGAAGCTACTAGAGAACTGAGTGGAGGAATGCTACATGAACAAAAATGTACTTATTAGAAAGATCACTCTGGGGGAAATTTGGAAGATGCTCTGCAAAAAGGGGAAGAGGTTTGGAAAAAGCAACAGCAAATACGAGAAAGACTGGAGGTAGTAAGACTAGGAAGAGAGCTCTGGAAAGAAGATAACAAATGTTATGAGAGATATTTTAGGATGTTGAATTGACAGAATTTGGTAAAACTTCACGTGGAGCACATTAAGAACGAGAAATTTATGACAATTTAGGTTTTTGATAACTAAGTGAAAAGAAGCACCATTCATGAAGTAGGAAGAGGCATGGAACTAGGGAAGAAAAGAAGGAGACAAAAAGAATTCAGTTTGAACATGTTTAATTTTGGGTGCCATTAAGATGTCCAGGTGGCAATACGATAAAAAAACAACAAAAACCTGGACAGAGGTCGAGACCTTGCAAAGATTTGAACTAGGAAGATAAATTTCAGTCATCAGTATATAGGTGTTAACAGAGACTGTGGGTACAGATAAGACTGTACAGAAAGAAATATCAGTCTGAAATCAGAACCCAGAACACAATACTGGAGAACACCAACATTTAAGGGGTTGGCAGAGAAAAAGAAGTCTGCACAGGAGACTGAGATGCACCACCAGCCAGCCAGGTGAGACGGTACCAAAGATTAAAATGTTTTCAACGTCAATAGAGTAAGTGTTACAAGAAAGGGAAGGCAGGAAAAACTGGGCAACAATGTGCCCACAGGTTCAAGGCAGTGAGAAAGGTCTTGATGACTTTGGCAAGAACTTCAGCGGAGATGAAGAAATCAACCTGCAACGAACTGAGAAGCAACCAGGAAACCAAGAAGTGGAGAGGGTAAATGGAAATTTTTGTTGTTATTCTAGAAACAGCTATGAAAAGAAGGTGAACAACAGAGCAGGAACTAAAGGGGAAAGGTAAGATATTTCTTCCCCTTTTACAGATTGGGAAGAATTTTTATATGTTTATATGCTGATTCAGTGAAGAGGGAGAAGGAAAAGGAAGTTACAGAGCAAGAAGAGATAACTGATGCTATAAGGGGTCCTGAAGTAAAGAACAAAGATAGAAGTAAAAGTAGTCAGATAGCTATTAAATTAGAGCAATTAGCTATTAATTAGCGGAAGACAATATAGCTTCCACTAATAAGATCATTCAAAGAAAATAGGATAATGACTCTTGAAATGTGAAATTATTACCAGCAGCTCCTCAAAGCTTCCTTTATAAAATCAATCTGCCAATAAGTTCAAAATTTAAACTTTTCAATTATTACCAAAAATAATTCTACATAATTTGGTTATAAAGGTAATACTTGGTCAATAAAAGTTATTTTGTTTACTCACGGGGCTTGAGTACGGGTGGTATATTCTTTGAATTCACTATCATGAATAGTGAAATAAGGTCGGAAATCACTGAAGTACTTTAATGGAGAAATACAGCTGTAGAGCAAGAATAACATGTAAAACAAAGGACAGAAATTAAAGGCCCTACTCAATAACTATGAAATATCTAAACACAGAGTTTACCCCACTGGGATCATCTATCTATAACTCATTTAAGGAAACTAGAAAGACAAATGGAAAAATGTAATGTAGATGGCATACCAAAAACACACTGGATTTGGGGCAGAAGACGGGGTGAAATTCTGGCTCTATCATTCATTAGCTACATACCTTTTACTAGACACTGACCATTCACACAACTGATTTTTATCAGGTGCTAACTTTATGTAAGTGAATGAATGTGCTTATTGCCCAGGAAAACAAAAACATGGAATCTAAATTAATTTCCTCATCAATAAATGGTGCTATAATGAGCACTACCTTCTTACAGGATTATTGTGTAGATAATGCAATGAGTGTGCAAACATATCACAGGTGGTAAACTGTTGCAACTATCACCATGAGGAACCAAATATACTCACTTAACAAGTGCCAATACAGTCTCTGACGACTCTGATGGTGACGGTGCCATGACCACGAGGGGCTCACCCAACAGCACCAGCTCCCAAAGCATCTGACTATGAAGGAAAACTGGGCAGAAACACCTGAAAGGTGTTTACGCAGCAGAGACACTGTTATTTATCCATCCCTGTTTTTTTTAAGTTCCCATATAATCATTCTAAAAACTTCACATTGATACAATTCTTCCAGCTATGTGTACCTTGACCTGATATACAAATTCATTTAGAATATGGTGATGTGGACTTCCCTGGTGGTGCAGTGGTTAAGAATCCACCTGCCAGGCTTCCCTGGTGGCGCAGTGGTTAAGAATCCGCCTCCCAATGCAGGGAACACGGGTTCGAGCCCTGGTCTGGGAAGATCCCACATGCCGCGGAGCAACTAAGCCCGTGCTCCACAACTACTGAGCCTGCGCTCTAGAGCCCGTGAGCCACAACTACTGTAAGCCCGTGCGCCTACAGCCCGAGCTCCGCAACAAGAGAAGCCACCGCAATGAGAAGCCCGCGCACTACAACGAAGACTAGGCCCCGCTCACTGCAACTAGACAAAGCCCACGTACAGCAATGAAGAACCAACGCAGGCAAAAAATAATAATAATAATAATATGGTGATGCACATAGATATAAGTTCCTTTTATCCACACAAAAATATATAGCAATTTTACTTGTTCCAAGTTTTACAAAATTAAATGTAATATATTGACACATAGAATGGCTAACAAACGATAAAAGCATATAAAATAATTATTAAATTATTGTACCATATAGTATATCTAGTTTATCAATATTGCTGTTACATTTGAATTTCTACTCTATTTTGAAGGAAACAAGAAAAATTAATTTTCCAAAGGATGTTTACTGGATGTACTTAATTTCAAAGCCAATGCTTTCAATATTAAAGAATGAGGAAAACAAATCACAAGGAGGTGTTCTAACACCAAACGACAGAATGCTTTCCTAAGCAGATCCTCCCCCTACAGAAATGTTGCATATATTTACAGTAGCCCTGGAATTCGGCAGAAGCCTATAGTACAAAACTCTGGTACATTATCTAGCCTAATTTGATAACTTTTACTTATTTAGTAATTTCCTCCTAGTAGGGTCAAAATTTTTCCTAGTAGATTACAGGGAAAAAAAACTACATTATCTATTTATAAAAATCATAACCAAAGGACTTTCCTGGTGGCACAGTGGTTAAGACTCCGTGCTCCCAATGCAGGGGGCCCGGGTTCAATCCCTGGTCAGGGAACTTGATCCCACATGCCTGCTGCAACTAAGAGTTCACATGTCACAACTAAGGAGCTGGCAAGCCACAACTAAGGAGCCTGCTGGCCGCAACTAAGGAGCACACATGCCGCAGCTAAGGATGCTGCCTGCTGCAACTAAGATCTGGTGCAACCAAATAAATAAAGTAAATGTTAAAAAAAAAAAAAGTAACCAATCTACCTACCTGAAAACATACACACACAAGAAAGAAAAGGAAAAAAATACAAGTAACTTTTAAGTGTAAAAATATGAAACAAATTTGTGAGATGGAAATTAGGGAAAGTTCATTTTAACTATTCAAAGGCAAGAAGAGAAATGTGAAGGAAGGGCAAAAAACCAAAAATAAAAACAATAAACAGTTCAAGGATAAGGCAAAGGAGCTCTTCCTCCTTCCTTCTTAAACAATTCAATCCTACAGCAAAACACAGTGCATGGTAGGCATCTCTGCCAAGAGGGAAAGAGAGCCCTGTTGGCCTGAAGAGCGTATCAGGGCTTGTGTGAGATAAGGCAGACATCCATGTGGAGGGGGTGGCTTGTCGTGGGGGTGTTGGAACCCTAATGTAGTGAGAAAGGTGTGCATGTGTGGAGGTGATCTGATTTGGGGTGACAGAGTCCAGGAATTGTGAGGGGCATGGAGGGGCAGCAGGTGCAGAGGGTCAGAGCCAGAGTGGGCTGAGGAGGCTGTCCATGGTGGGATGTCAGAGAAGAGGAATGAGGGTGAACATATGGAGGGGTGGGCCTGCAGTAAGGTGTAGAAGCACAAGTAGGGAAAGGAGGGATCCACGTGGGGGCTGGCTTGGCATTGGGAGTCAGAGCACGACAGGGTGAGTATGGCATCCACATAGAGAGGTGGCCTAACGTGGGGTATAGAAGCCTGACTGGGGCAAGAGGGGAACCATGTGGGGGGTCAATCAGGCATGGAGCAGGGCCTAAGCAGGGTAAGGAGGGTGTCCATGAAGAAGAGCAGCCACGCGGGCAGTTTCAGAGCCCAAGAAGGATAAGAAAGGCATTTGCTCAGAGAAGAATGTTGCAGCAGAGACGAGAGATTGGTTACTAACATGGGCTGATCAAATAAGTAAATGAATCAAGGATAATAGGATGTAGCTCCTCTGTCAGAGAAAAGAAATACAAATATGAAAAGGGAAAAAAGTAGAGTGAACCCTGTCATGCTGCACCGGAATTAGGGGTATTGGTGTGACTTTATAGTTTTCAATATATATGGATATAGAAATAAATATGTATGTAAAAGTGTTTAAATACTATACATGAGTGTGTATATATACATGCATTTACAGATACATATTTTCCTTAGCTCTGTCCACTGAGAGGGATATTCCCTTAGCAAGGAGCACAACTAGTGCCCAGATCTTGACTTCTAAATCCTGTTCTCTACTAAGTAGCTGATTCCAGGGCTGGGGAAGAGAAAATACAAGATAATCTTGGAACCCAACAGAACTGAAAACATATGTCCACACAAAGGCTTATATACAAATGTTCACAACAGCATTATACGTAACAGCCAAAAAGTGGAAACCATCCAAATGTCCTTCAATGGATTAATGGATGTGGTATATCCATACAATGGAATACTATTCAGCCATAAAAAGAATGAAGTAATGATTCATGCTACTGCATGGATAAACCATGAAAATAATATGCTCAGTGAAAGAAGGTAGACATAAAAGGTCACACATTGTATGATTCTATCCATATGATATGCCTAGAATAGACAAATCCAAAGAGACAAAGTGGATTAGTGGTTACTAGGGGCTGCGGGGAAGAGGCCATGGGGACTAACTGCTAATGGGGTACAAGGTTACTTTTTGAGCGATGAAAATATTCTGGAACTAGACAGTAGTAATGGTTGCACAACTCTGTGAATATATTAAAAACAACTGAACTGTATACTTTGAAAGAGTGAATATTATGTATGTGAATTATATATCAATTTTTTTAGTTAGAAAAAAAAAAAGATAAGCCTGAAACAAACAAGTTAGTGTTTCAAGAATGAAAAGGATATGACAAAAAAAGAAAAACAGAAGCCACCTTGAAATGGATTCTCACTGGCCAAACTGGGGACAATTTGAACATCAAAAACTGATGAGAATAATGGATTTTAATAACCTGTTGAATAAAACAAGAAACCAAAAATCCATACAGATATACATACATGGTGCAATGTTTTAAAATATTTCTACAAATTCTTTGACACTCCTTTTAAAGCACTGAGCCTATTTCTCACCCTCTTAGGTGGGCTGGGTTAGTGGCTTGCACTTAATGAACAGAGTAAATTAAAGCAATAATATACAACTTTTTTTTCAATAATCGTTGAACAAATGAACCTTTAATAGCGGTTACACCATTGAGGTGTCCTGATCCAACATCGAGGTCATAAACCCTATTGTCAATATGGACTCTAGAATAGGATTGCGCTGTTATCCCTAGGGTAACTTGTTCCGTTGATCAATTTTTGGATCAATAAGTGATATTATGCTTTGGCTAGTGGGCCTAAGCTTTAATCACTCGGAGGTCTTTTTGTGCTCCGAGGTCACCCCAACCGTGTGGCATGTGGGATCTTAGTTCCCCGACCAAGGATCAAACCCCGCGCCCCATACAGTGGAAGTGCAGAGTCCTAACCACTCGACTTCCAGGTAAGTCCCAATAATATACAACTTTGAAGCCTGAGTCATAAAAGACATTGTGACTTCAGCTTTCTCTCAGATCACCTGCTGAATGTTGTGAGAAAATTTAAGCAGCCCTTTGGAAACGTCCACATGGCTGGAAATGAAGGTCTCCTGCCAACAGTCACAAGGAACTGTGACCACCAGCCAACAGCTAAAGTAGCTTTCTAGGGAAGCAGACCCTCCAGCCCCACTTGTCCAACTGACTAAAACCTCCGCTGACATCTTGACTGCAACCTCACAAGAGATCTAGAACTAGAACCATCCAACTGAGCAGTCCCCAGATTCCTAACTCTCAGAAACTGTGTGAAATAATGTTTGTTCTTTCAAACTTCTAAGTATTGGGGTAACTTATTACACAACAATAAATAAATAGTTTCATAGTTTCAACGTATCTCCTCACAACGTATCTCCTCACAAAATATTTAACTACAAAAGGAAAAAGAATAATTTATCAATGGAGAAGCTTGGAGAACACCACACTAATAAAGAGATCAAAGTGAACATTATCAGCCATGAGGCAAGCCAACCTTGTGTGCTACCTCCTGGCCAAAGATACAGAGCCTGAATCTTATTATGAGTAAATCCCAGACAAACCCAAGCTGAGGGATTTCCTGTAAAATAACTGTCCTGTAATCCACAAGAATGTCAGGGCCATGAAAGGAAGACTGAGGAGCTATTCCAGACTGAGACTAAACAGACATGACATCTAAATGCAACAGACACTTCTGAACTAGATATTATTGTGACAACTGGACACATTTGAATGTGGTCTTAGTATTAGATAGTATTAATTTATCAATGTTAATTTCCCAATTTTTATGGTTGCATTGAGTCCTTACTTGTAGGAAACAGACACTAAAGTATTAAGGGAAGATGGGGCATCAGCTCTCCAACTTACCATCAAATGGTTCTAGGAAAAAAAAGTTTACTATACTGACCACTTTTCTGTAAAATCTGTGATTGTTTCAAAATTTTATACAGATACATAAACTTTATATAAATATTTATATATGTAAAATTTTGAAATAATCACAAATTTACAGAAAAGTGATCAGTACAGTATATATGTATAATTTTTAAAATATATAATTTATATATATTATATATGTATATTTATAATTTTAAAATAAGCAAAGGAAAAATGGAAAAGACCTATATGGAAACATCTGACCAACTGACTTTAATAGTGCAATGCCCTTAAGGCATCAAAGTTGCAAATTAGTTTTTCTCTGAAGTATAGTAATGTTATCTATCAGCAAGGGCACAAACAGATAGGAAGTACAATTGCAAGATGAAGCATTCTCTGAAACCTCTGTATTACACTAGTAATATCTGTTACACAAAGTAGTTTTTATTGGGGGGAGGTAAGTATTAAATATTCAAGAGAGGAAACCTTTAATAGATATTGGTGGTATATATCAAATTAACGGCAGTGTAGAATTACTAAAATGAGGTGTTTGTAGGGAAATCACAGTCTTCTTTTAGCACCACTTTTATATTCCCATTCTGGAGTATCATGCTTTATGCTCTCAACCCACTCCCCCCAACTCCCCAAAAAAGGCCATCCCTAGAAAAAAAATTATCTATTTACCATTCTCACACCCAACCAAACAAAAATAATTTGTGTCTACCATGTAATACCCAATCCATATCCAAATTTCCCTAGTAGTCAAAGCAACTGACATGCAGTCAGGGATGAACCACTGATTTACAACATGTGAAACATGACTATTTTCTTCCAGGTTTTTCCACATTTTATATAGGAATATTCACTTTCTAAAGAAATTAACAACAATATCATAAAGCAAATGAGACAAGGCAGTTAACAAAATTTTTTAGTCTTTACCTGAAAAGATCCACCTCATGAACAGTAGGTAAAATAACAGATATATGTGTGTCTCCCTAAGAGATAAAAAAGAAAAAAAAATAGACAAGATGTCACCAAAATTGCCAAAAACTGACTTTTATAATATGCCTATCTATTCATAATCAATCAGCCATGTTGCCCTGTCTTCTAAGAGTCTCTTCCTCCAGAAGCAGCTGCAAAGAGAATGGGTCTTAACAGTCTCCCCTAACACAGCAGGTCAAGGACAACATAGATTCCACCGATAAAACATTAATCCAGTGGTCAGGTGTTAGATTAATTCTCAACTGTATGAATACTACCATAATACCAGTTGACATATATAACAGGCGAAATTTGTTTTCCTATTGCTCTCCATTTTTATTTAATTCAAAGGACAATGGGAGTGCTAATATACCAGTTAAATCATTTCAAATGAAAAATTCATCCCCACCCATGAACAAATGTAACTTTGGGGAAAATGAAGGGCAATTATAACTACAGAATCCTTTTGATTAAGTTTCCTAAAACCAGAAGTCTGTTGACCACTCTTCTAAGATAAGAGGTTTTGTTAGAATTAAACCTTGCTTAATCTTTTTCAAAAGCTAATTTTCTCCTTGTCCTCACAATTACAGTATAAATTCTGAGTTCTCCAGTGTCTACTAGAGAAAGAACAAGAAAAAAAAATCGGAAAATAGGAAGCTTTTTTTTGATAGGAAGCTTATTATAAATTCATTAAAAATTATTTAATGGGATATTTCAGTGATATTCAGAAATGAATCATAAACCCAAGAAATTCTATATTTGCTAGTTTAAAATTTCTGTTAAAGAGACTATATATGCTGGATTATTCTACCACAGTAGCACACTACCTGCTGAGTTAACTGCACTATTTGAGTTGTCCCAGGCTTGTCATGACATGTGGGAATCCGTACCTAAAAGAGAAGAAATTAACTTTGGCTACAAAAGAATGACCTTTCTATAACTTGCGAGTCCTGCTACAATGAGGGATCAGAAGCACTCTATCCTGATGCTAAAAAGGTACACTCAACAATGCCTAAAATGCCATAAAAACAAAATACTTATGTCAGATTAAAAACTAAAGTCATATTTATTTTTAGTCACAACAGAAGGTAAGTGAACCAAGGTCTCCACATTCCCATACACACAGAAATCACTAACCCACTGAGAAGCAAACGTGCTGAAAAACAGAAAAGGACATCAACTACATACCACTTCCTGTTTATTGTTCCAATCTTTGCTTCATTAATATACACACACCCAAACACACCCTCTCAAGCTTGCCAAACTATGGGATAAATCTCACAGGGAACCATGAGAACTCTCAACCCAGACCTACTTTTGATGATTTCCCATGGAAAAAACAGAACAGAGGTCCTACAGAAATGAGCACATCTAAAGAGAGAACATTGCCAAAAATAAGTTCAACTTGAAAATGAACTGCAAAAGCACTTACAGCACATTCATACAAAGCCTGAGAGCAAAATGCTAATTCATTGTATTAAAAAAAAACCTTAGTAGAGAACAATACCCTGGGATGGACATGTTGGTCTGAAAATACACATTAAAAAAATCACTTAAGACTAAGAACCAATGACCTGCTGTATTAAAAAAAAAAAAAAAAAAAAAAAACGACTAAGAACCAATGGCTTTCCTAATTTCTTTTAAATTTTACTAACTCATACTCAATTCTACAAGTGTTCTGCAATACCATCCATTTCTGGAGGGCCATGAAGTTGCACAATTCTAGGAGGTGGCATTTACATTCACATGCATTGTATAAGAATGACAGCATCATGTAAACTCTACAGGATGAAAATGGGACTGGTGACCCCTGGAGTTGTGTGACTAATGGTTCTGTGCAGCAGGATAAATTGCGGTATCTTTGTAACTCCTCACATCAATGACAAGTGAAAGCAACAACAGGACTGAATGTTATTAGGAAGTTAAAAAGCAAAATTCATGTGTGAGCTTCCTAAAAAAGGAGACAAATGAAATATAAGCTATTATTACCTTCATTACTACCCCCATAATAGGCAGATGTAATGTTTTCCCTGGCATTGGTGCAGGCCATCGATCAACATCATTACAAGCTGAAAAATATAGTAAAATATTTCTTTAGTATAAGTGGAAATACTAAAATATTAAAAATGGAACATTAGAAGTTGGAACTCCACTTTATGCTTTCTATATAGCAGAAAAAATACACTGGGAAGGATGGAAGATAAAAGGTAAAAGTACTGAAAATATCTTATATTTCACCAGATATACATCTATGTTCTAGGATATAAATTGGTTAATACATGTTTTGAAAGCAACAGAATAAGTTTAAAGGGAGTTTTCCTACTCATTTATTACTACTAAAATTAGCTACAAAAGCACACCACCTAGCAGATGTCTTCTCTCTGTATTGAGTGACATAAGGATTTCTGTTTAACAGTACTCTGAGTATCAGAATTGGCAACTCAATATTTGTTTATTATTATCCTAAAAAATAGGCATCATCCGTGCTGCAAAAGGAGAAATAAAAGATAGGATCTTTGGTGTTTGTAGGTAAATATGCCAGAAGAATTGTTTTACCTCTCTCTCCTACCTTATAGTCCTTAAAATTCTTAACTAATTTTTTTTCATTCATTTCCAGTAAAGAATTTAAAACTCCTTCATAAAGGTACCTAACTCACACAATGTTTAACTTACCTGCTTCCAAATAAGGTTCATTCTTTTCAAAATACTCTGGTGCTATCTGTTTGAGCACAGTGTGAAAAAAATGAATATAAGGTAGTTTGCTGATCAAAACCAAGGACTGGAGGGAAAAAAGAAACAATGTTTAATTTCTTAATGATTATAATTTTAGTTTGCCATTTCTTATATAATCAATTACTAACAAGCCAAATTCAGCGAAAAGTGTGGATTTTAAAATAAAAAGGCTTTTACAGTAGATGGTTAAAAGAAACATAAAACTATAGTGGCAGAACACCAGAAGTTTAACCTTATTACTATATTTTAAGAGCATAAAGACACATTCACAGATTTTCCTGCTGTGCAGGAAAAAGAATTTCCTATAAACAAACTAATGTCATGGATAATTCCAAAGCCTGGCTACTACTGCTGTCAGCAAAGCAATATTAGGAATTAGCTAGGTAAACTCTTCCTAAAAAGGAAAGCGCAAATTGTGATGCTTTTTCTGACTAAGACCTATGACTATTTTAGAGTTCAATGGTTTTAGCCACATTCTTAGAAATTGTGACTATAGTTTGTGACCACTTCAGATATAGATTATGCTGACTTTTTAAAAATCTATTTTCTTGAAAACTACTTTTTATCTTTCCATTAAGCATCAATTAGTGGTCAGGGCATGTTCTGGTTACAAAAGGTAAAGGTGTGTCCCTGTTAGCTGGGATTAAATTGGAATTAATTGATATTTATATATATATATATCTTTAGAAACAAAAAGATTGTACATTTAGAGTGGGAACAATAATGACTAAGATGTTGATCAAGTATATTTACTAGTTCTTCAAAAAAAAGATATTGCAGGCTTTTATTAGCTGTAACTATGTTACAATCTGTTTACTCTTTCCCTTATTCTAAAATGTGAAAATTAAACAGATTCTTCTGAGTTTTGACAGTTTCATACAATAACTGTAACTTACTGTCAGGAATCTAGTATACAGATAGCAGGAAGGCAAAATTCAGTAGCAGTTAAAAATCTAGGGACTTCCCTTGTGGTGCAGTGGTTAAGAATCCGCCTGCCAACGCAGGGAACACGTGTTCAATCCCTGGTCCGGGAAGATCCCACATGCCGCGGAGCAACTAAGCCCATGTGCCACAACTACTGAGCCGGTGCTCTAGAGCCTGCGAGCCACAACTACTGAGCCCGCACAATACAATAATGAAGCCCGCACACCCTTGAGTCCGCACGCCGCAACTACTGAGCTCACACACCACAACTACTGAAGCCCGTGCGCTCTAGGGTCCGCGTGCTGCAACTACTGAGCCCGCGTGCCTAGAGACCGTGCTCCAAGAGAAGCCACCAAAATGAGAAGCCCATGCACCACAACAAAGAGTAGCCCCCACTCGCCCCAACTAGAGAAAGCCCGCATGCAGTGACAACGACCCAATGCAGCCAAAAAAAACTAAGGACAGGTGTCTACAATCTAAAAAAAAAAGATAAAATATAAATTCTAGTATGTTTAAAGATAAAATATCAAACACTTTAAAGACTGTTCATTCTAATAATTTCTATTCTTCTAACCACAATGTAAAAATATTTTTCTGTTAATGTATATGAAAATTACCTTCTGAAAGTAGCCTCTTTTTAGAGTTTTGTCTCGAACTTGTCGAAAATACACATATCCATAAAAATAGGCAGGATCCTTCTATAAAAGAAGTGACAAATTAAAAAAAAATATATATATATATATATAGCCATCCTTTCTTATTAAAAGCAGGTTCCTTTATAAACTTGAACTGAGATATGAGGTACACACAAAGAACTAGTTATGCTTTTCCACCAATGCAAACAACAATCATGACAATAACTGGCAGATAAAAACCTGCTAACTTGCCCACAGATGAAATAATCATAACTAAAGTACTAAGGTCAGATTTTACCCCCTATAACTTACTCTGTTTATGTTCTTTATTCATATCTGTGGTAGTTAATGGAAGTTAGGAAAACAATCAAATTCTGTTTTCCCCAATGCTATACTTAGTTTTGAAAAAATTCTGCCTACAATTCTGAGTTAGGCATCAGTCTTATGAGGTATACTAATGCAAAATTTCAAGAGAGAAAATAAAAGGAGTTAAATGCCAATATGAATCTTACATAGACAGTTATATTTTTACCCAACAATAATGAAACACTGGAATATTTATCAACATACAATTTGAAAGGTCCAAAAAACTTAAAAGTTTTTATATACTAATGGAATAAACTCTGGTCCAGTTCCTTATTTGATTGTTATTCTTTAAGCAAATATTTATTGACTACCTACTTTGAACAAGGCATTGTGTTAGAAAAGATAAAAAGATGTGTAAGACACAGTTCCTTAAGGAGATCACAAACTAAGAGCGATAAGAAAAGTACAAAAATGACTAGTATGTGATAGGAGGGCAGGTACCATGCAAAAAAGCACAAAGTGTTACAAAGAGGCCAAGGGGGAAGAGGTTACTTCTGTCTATGGCGATCAGTATTTTGCGGAGGCAGCTGGTTTTGAGTTGGGCATTGAAGGATGGATATGATTTAAACAAAGACAAAGACATTTCAAGTTTACACAGCCAAGAGTTTGAGCAAAACCACGCAGAGATAGAAAAATACAAGCTACCTCAGGAAAAAGCATACAGTTCAGTTTAGCTAATATATGGCACATGTATAGAAAAGAGATTAAGCTGGAAATTTGAAAGGCAAAGGTTTTATTTTGGAAGGCCCAAAAAGTGAGAACCAGGAAATATTACTATCATTAGCTCTTTATTCATTAAGCAATAAGTAATCATTTTAGATTTTATTTATTTTATGTAATATATATGTACACTTTAGCTGGGAACACTGTGTAAGATATATTGCACTGAAAAAGACAGAAGATGGACGTCTTTGGGCAAATATTTTTATCCTCAATAGCCCTCAATTCCTTCATTTGCAAAAGGAACTCTTTTGGAACAATATAGGGAGGATTAATAAGATAATATGTGCTTATTGATACAATGCCAAGAACATAAAAAGCTCTAATAAGTAGTAGCTATTATTATCAGCAGTTGACAGAATATGTTATTAGTGATAGCAAATGGTCATGAAAAGGACAAGATGGCTATAAGAGACATTTCAAAAGGTAACATCTTTGCTAACTGGAAGAGGATTCCTGTCATTAGTGGAACCAGGAAGGTAAGCTGTAAATACTTATTTTAGGCAAAAGATGTCAAGTTCTTATTGGATGTGCTAATAGGACATCCAGATGTAAATGTTCTTCATGTAGTTAGAGATAAAAGTATGAAGTACCAAACAGAAATTCTACACTCAGGAATCATCTGAATTATTAAAATTGTTTTTGATAAACAACAACTATAAACCAAAGCTTATTCAAAAATCAAAAAGAGACAACAATAATTCTACTATAAAGCAGGTAGGGATTACCACAGGGAATCTTCAACTCTGGGTGATATTTACTGGTATACTACCACCCCACTTCCACATCTAAACAAAGAGTTTTAACACGTGAAAGAAAATGAATTCAACATTCTAATTTCTATAATTCACAATGGCATTATGTTTTAAGAATAGTAACTTTATAAAGTCTCTTTCACATGCTAAATCCTTATGAATTAGACTCAGGAAATTCAGCAGTATAATACAGTAACAAAACAAAAGCACAATATTTCTGAATGCTATAAGAGGTAACTGAGTAACTGAGTTCTAAAGTTTCCTCTCACATAGACATTATTCTATTACTACTTTTCCAACCTTTAAGTAAACTGGTAAATCTTTCTCAAATTGATCCAGGAGACAATGCAGTGACACCCTCCTCCCAGAAGACTGTCGAAATCTAAAACAAAACTGGGTATCTCCAAGGCAACCTAATGAAAACAAAAATGAGAGAAATTAAGGGCAGCACAGTATAACATTTATTTATCCAGTTTCATCACATCTTAGAGCTAAAGGGGTCCTATCAATTACTGAAACACATTCTATCATGCTTTAGAGAAGAAAAAAGAGATCCTGACAGTTCGACTTGCTCTAAGCTATCTTTGCTGGTTAAAGGCAAAGCCATTGGTAAACTATGCATCTTAACTCCTATGTCCCTCTACTGTTTTTCCTATTCCATTTTCTCTATGTAATTAAAACTTTTTGAAAACTGTGTGCATGTCATGTTGATTCACAAACATAATTATGAGCAAAAGAAGCCAAATATAAAAGAACACAAATTGTTCAAATCCATTTACATAGTTTTTTTTTTTTAATAAAGCAGGCAAACTAAACAATAGTGTTTAGGAATACATGGTTGGGTGATAAAACTATAAAGAAAAGCAAGAATCTTATTACTATAAGAATCAGTAGAGTGATTTGAAAAGATACATGCACCCCAATGTTCATAGCAGCCTTATTTATTTACAATTACCAAGGCATGGAAGCAACCTAAGTGTCCATCAACAGATGAATGGATAAAGATGATATGATACACACACACACACACACACACACACACACACACACACACACAAATGGAATACTACTCAGCCATAAAAAAGAACAAAATTTTGCCATTTGCAGCAACATGGATGGACCTGGAAAGCATTATGCTAAGTGAAATAAGTCAGACAGAGAAAGACATATGTATGATATCACTTACATGTGGAATCTAAAAAATACAACAAACTAAGCAAAACTAACAAAAAAAAAGCAGATTCACAGATATAGAGAACTAATGGTTGGTTACCAGTGGCAGAGGGGCAGGGAATATAGGGGTGGAGGAGTGGGGGGTACAAACTACTGGGTGTGAGATAGGCTACAAGGATTATTGTACAACATAAGGAATATAACCATTATTTTGCAATAACTGTAAATGGAAGGCAAACTTTAAAAATTATATTTAAAAAATTTTAATAAAAAGTAAAAAATTGAAAAGAAAAAAGAATCAAGATAGTGGTTACCTTAGGTGCGGGGGAGGGAAATACTGTTTGGGAAGAGACATGAGGGGGCTTTTGCGGTGTTGGCAAAGTTCTATTTCTTGACCTTATATGTGTTTTATATTTCACAATGAGAATTTTAAAAAAAAACAAAAACATAGCAGACTCAGGAAGAGCCCAAGTAATAGACTTACTATATTAATCATGTTAATTATAAAGTTTTTAAACTTCAATCATTTTAGCAAACCTTTTAAAATATTACCTAAACTGTCAGGCAATAATTACAAAAAACTGTAAATACTCTAAAAAGTGAAAGACACAAGAAGTAGCCTGTCACTCAAATTCTTCCCAGTTACTGTATTTAAAACTAATGAGATTATATTAAATACAAAATGTGCTCAAGATTTTATTACACACAGAAGTACTTATATTTCTTTAGCACATCAAGTTCTCAAAAAGGAAGCAGAAATTTGATATTATGTTTAAGTTTTAAAAAAAGCAACTCAGTACATATACCTAAATGCACTTATAGAAACTAGTATTTCTTTGGTGGAGGAGGGAAGAAACAAAGGGGACTGGAGGGTGAGTCAGTTCAGTTTCTTTACTTGTCATAGCAGATGGTTCAAAATAAGGAAAATACATGAGACCTGAGATAATGGAAAATACTCCTAGCATTGTTTTAGTTCAACAGATTTATATACAGATGGTTCAGTTTTTCTCTTCAGAAGACAGAAAGATCCACTGAGAAGTACACACTAATTTCTCTGAGACACCTAGCAAGATGTAGCAGAAAAAATGCAATGGATTTTAAGAAAGATGTATGAACTCTGGAAAATGTAAGGAATGCTGAGCTTTGTGGAAAGAAAGTAATGAAGCTCCCACAGCCTTAAATCCCAACCCACCCCTGGCTCCACTCCCAAACCATGGGCATGCTGTAAGAACTTTCCGATGACCAGCTGTACCTGCAAGCTGTACAGAACTGGTCAGGAAGCTAGTTCACCAGGTCAAAAAGGCTTTAACCATAGTGTCTTTGTGAAGTGAGGTAAACGGTTCCCATTTTATGTTTCAGAAGTCTGTTCCCTCACACACAAAAGGTTACTAAAGAAAAACCAACTCTTTATCTAGGTAGACCTTTGTTCTCCATCCTGACCTCACTATTAACGGGACAGGAAAAGAGGTGTTACAGATTGGCAACCAGGTTATTTACATTTGTCTTGCAGAAAATGATACCTGTGGAGGGCAGGGCAATCCTGATAACCTACAACCTCATCAAAAATAAATCTACCTTGTTAGTATGACCCATCCAATTTGCCTATTTAACAGGAGAGTGCACCTCTACATAAGCAGTATAATGATTACATATGAAAGATGGTTAAATGACTGTGCACATGAGGGAAAGGTTATAATCTGAGGAAAAAGGAACCACAATCAATGGGATCTAGTCCCAGGTCCATCAATAATTAGCCTTCTAGAAGTCACTTCGCCCAAGGTTCTCAATTTTCTTGTAAACAAAAGTTAAGGGGCATCATAAGATAATCTCTAAAGTCACTTCCAGCAGTAATATGCAATAATTCTAAAATAAATCTCCACAACTGACCTACGATTGTACTGAATTCCAAGCATCTTACCCACTGTATTCACTAAGAAAACTAAAGACCTATATAAAGATCCAAAAAGACCTAAAAGTTATGCTATGTGCACCATAGCTTTCTGATTATTAACAAAAACAAACAAAAAAAAAGGTAAAAAGCTTTAATGGAAAGTATTTTTTCTTCACATAAATCAAGGAATAAAGATGAATTTATACAAATTTTAAGATTAAATGACAGCTCTCCAAAGAAAATACACCTTCACGTGGCTTCTTGACTAAGAACCACATAAACTCTTTCCCTGATAAAGCAGCAGGAATTAAGGAAACAGCAAATTTGCTCAGCAAACCCCCACAGCTTGAGGAAAAGTTCCACTTTAATTAATCTAAGATAATCTTGACGAGCCCAGAAAACAGAACTAATAACCCAACACTTTTTAAACCAAGAAAATTCCTGTAACCTTCCCCCAACATCCTTTTCCAAACAACTAAGTTCTTACAACAGAAATCAAACAGAATCCCAGGTCAAAATTATTTTCATTATTTTGTCTGCTTTCAGAAGTGATTTTCCACCCTTTCAATACATGAATTGAGCACCAATTTCACTGAATGCTCACTCTGTGGCAGGCACTGTCCTAAACACTTTAGATACATTAACTCATTTGGTCTTCATGCTTCTCAAGTAGGTCCCATTATTAGTCCTGTTTGCGAGGAGGAAACCAAGGCACAGAAAAGTTATGTAATCATCCAAAGAAATAAATCTGCTAAATGGCAGAGCAAGAATTTGAGCCCATGACATCTGACTCTGGAGCTGGTGCTCTTGACCATTATATTATACTGGCTCTTTCAAGTCAAAATGGACTTCAAAAACACCACTTCCACTAATATGAAATATCCAGAATAGGTAAATCCATAGAGACAGAAAGTAGACAGGTGGTTGCTGAGGGGGAGAGGTGGGTAGGAGGAAACTGGAGCAGAAAGTTTCTTTTTCGGTGATGAAAATTTTCTAAAATTGACTTCGGTAATAGTTGCACAACTCTGAATGTACTAAAAATCACTGAATTGTACATTTTACATGGGTGAATTATATCTCAATAAAACTGTTTTGTTTTGTTTTTTTAAATGCTACGTCACTGCCAACTGGAGCAGATCAAAAGCTTCTATTCTTCACTTAGAAAACGAAGTCCTGAAAAGCACCCCTCCAACTGAGGAGTTGCTGAACTCACTGGTTTCTGGGACACTCACTGGTTTCATGGCTCCTCCTATGCGAATGCCATGTAGTAAGCCACAAACTGCTCTCCTCCCATTTTAAAATTATCAAGGGCACAGATGATTTTATTCTTTACATCTGCCAATCAAACCAAGACTGCAAAGCTATAGATAAACAGAAGACACTTTCCTGTATCAAAAATATTACTTGAGGGGCTTCCCTGGTGGCCCAGTGGTTAAGAATCCACCTGCCAATGCAGGGGACACAGGTTCGAGCCCTGGTCCGGGAAGATCTCACATGCCGCGGAGCACCTAAGCCTATGCGCCACAACTACTGAGCCTGCGCTCCACAGCCCATGAGCCACAACTACTGAGCCCGTGTGCCACAACTACTGAAGCCCATGCGCCTAGAGCCCATGCTCTGCAACGAGAGAAGCCATGACAATGAGAAGCTCACGCGCTGCAATGAAGAGTAGCCCCCACTCGCCATGACTAGAGAAAGCCCACGCGCAGCAACAAAGACCCAACACAGCCAAAAATAAAAACAAATAAATTTATTTTTAAAAAATTACTTGAGATTTGAGGGAAAAAAAGCTTAAATATTTCTTCTAAAGGGAAAAGACAACTTCAGACTATTTTTTAAAATTAATTTATTTATTTGGTTGCGTCAGGTCTTAGTTCTGGCAGGTGGGCTCCTTAGTTGTGGCAGGCGGGTTCCTTAGTTGCAGCTCATGGGCTCCTTAGTTGCAGCTCACCAGCTCCTTAGTTGCAGCATGAGAACTCTTAGTTTTGGCATGCACGTGGGATCTAGTTCCTGGACCAGGGATAGAGCCTGGGCCCCCTGCATTGGGAACACAGAGTCTTAACCACTGCACCACCAGGGAAGACCCTTGATCAGTTTTGTTTTTGTTTTTTTAATAAATTTATTGATTTATTTATGGCTGCGTTGGGTCTTCGTTGCTGCACGTGAGCTTTCTCTAGTTGCAGCAAGCGGGAGCTGCTCTTCATTGCGGTGCACAGGCTTCTCATTGCGGTGGCTTGTCTTTGCTGCACAGCATGGGCTCTAGGCGCATAGGCTTTAGTAGTTATGGCACATGGGCTCAGTAGTTGTGGCTCCTGGGCTCAGTAGTTGTGGCTCATGGGCTCTAGAGTGCAGGTTCAGTATTTGTGACGCATGGGCTTAGTTGCTCCACAGCATGTGAGATCTTCCTGGATCAGGGCTCAAACCCGTGTCTCCTGCACTGGCAGGTAGATTCTTAACCACTGCGCCACCAGGGAAGTCCCAGAGTATTTTTATATTAGCGGAAAACAGCTATAGGCCAGTTCAGAGTAAGACTAAAATAAAACATGAGACCTTAAGAGCTAGCTCCATCCTTGGCCTTCAGCTCTATGTAGTCACCCTCTCTGTGATTAGAGTTGGAAACGCTGAGAAGCAGGAGTTTAGACCAGGGACTACACTTCTCAAAGTGTAGTCCATAGAGTGATGCGAGTCCACAAACTCTTGTTACAATACATGACAAAATAAATACCCAAACTGAGAATACACATTTAGAAACCCTTATAGCGATTTGATATTGCCATGACAAATTTGGACTTTTATTTTGTATTCTTTGGTTTTTCTCCCTTTCATTTTTCTAATAATTCATGTATACAGCATTTTATAAAAGCACCGGTCCACAACAGATTGGAAATTCTTAAAACACCCAAATGGCCCTTCAACACAGATGAGTGTGAGAAGCACTCCTTTCACCACCGGGAAGTGTAAAGTACATGACGACGTCCCAGTTGTTTACATAGAAAAAAATCTGTTGAGACAAATATTATCTGCACATCTAATCCATCCAGAACAAGGATTGATATTTCCCTCGGATTCATCATCACTTGAAACTCTCTCTACTCATGCTAAGTTTTCTCTCTGGCCTTGTTTAGATCATAGTGATTACAGTCCTTGGGTACCCATCACAGCTTAAGACTCAGGAATGCATATATCCAGATGATATTAATGGTAAATAACGAGAAAAATATCTGACAAATATTTATGAGAGAAAACATTCTTTAAACTTAGGCTCCTAAAGATAAAAGCCATTCAAATGGAACAAAAAGCTGAAAGCTAAAAACAAACAAAACAAAACTTTTTTCTAAAGTCACAGTATCTAAGTTGTGTGTGGGTGGTGGGTGGAGGAAGTGGAGGACTGGCAAATCCTCCCATTGGGAATCCCAAAAGTATTCTTCTTTATCTGTATAATTTACCATAGAGTCTAAATGCTGTTTTACTTTTTTTAAGTGTGCACCGTGGAAACAAAAGCTAGGTTATGATTCTTTCCTAAAGACTGCTCTACTGCACCTTCTGTAACAATAAAGCTATCTTGGGAAAAATTAAATCCATTTCAAAGTTGGCATAGTACTAATTCCAACTTCCATTTAATGAACACATAAATGAAACAAACTATTTGGATAATCACAATTGAGAACAGTGATCTCAAATATATATAAATGCATAGTCTCTTGCTGTCTAGATTAATATTCTTCTGTTAAGATGGCAAGGTGTCTATTTTTAAGATCTTTTGTTGACTTTACTTCTAAGTACCAACCATACTTTGAATAAAATGAACCACACTTCCTTTGATATGCAGCTTATAAAAAAGGCATTACAAAACATCTGTAGGTCATTCAAATGCCTAAAATACTGAACAAATTGGTTTTTTTTTTTTTTTTTTGGCCCCACGGAGTCCTAACCCCTAGACTGCCAGGGAATTCCCTGAACAAATGCTCATTTACACAGATTTACACTTGAGTTTAACTTCCAATAAGAAAGTGACTCATACAGAGACTAACTGCAAAACTAGAAATAAAAAAGACTATCAGACATCATACAATTAACTTCTTAGTCTTTTTTTTTTTTTTAACTTCTTAGTCTTGATGCTCATGTAGAGAGGTGAAAGGGAGAGAGCCATGAAAACCAGCCATGACCTGAAGAAGAAGAGCATGCAGTATAATCACATGAAGTCAGTTTATCCTGTAATCCACACAACTCACCTGACCTTGAGTCATGAAGTCCAATCCAATACTCACTACAATCAGAACTACATGTGTGCACTTTGTAAGGCAAATGTTATCCGAAATAAGGGGAGATCCTATAAGACCGCTGTATCATTATCTCGTTAACAGGCAAAACATGTGAAAAGATTCCAATGATTCCAGGTCAAAACAAAAGCCGTCCTGGGATCGCTCAAAGCCATCCTTTTAACTTTTTTTTTTTTAAACATATTTCATGAAAGCTGAGTTCCAAAACTATAGGAAAAAATTCTGGAAGCATTTATAAGGAAAAGAGAAAATGCTTTAAAAAGCTAAAATGTCAAGTCTCCCAAGTCAGATTGTCTAAACTAAATTAACAGTATATTAGAAGTAACCACAAAAGGAAAGGGAACTGTAGTGCCTTTGCTTCATGGGATTCTAAGTGTGTGGTCTAAGAAGTTAAGTGTTCTGGTCACTGCAAGCCTGAAAAATTATTTTCAAAGTGAAACACAAAAGGTAACCTGAAAGATATCAACTTATAGGACCACACAAAGGAAGAACTTGAAGGAGACCAGCAAAACCAAGCTTAATATTAATAGCAAACACTTATAAAGTACTTTCTATACCCAAGCACTATTTCAAATGCTTTATATATACTAACTCACATAAACTATTGCAAATAATTGATGGCCATGCTTTATAACCATGTTTACCCTGATTTTTTTTAAATCCCTGCTTTTACAGAGTTCTTGGCAAGCTCCCAAATCCTAAACTAAAAGAACACTGCTTAATATAAATCCTCAAACATACCAGCGTTGATGATTTTCAATCTCTTCATTATTTCAACAGTTTATGGCTCCATGATGTTTTACCTCATTACAAGATAACAGTTATTTTCAAAGTTGAACCAACGAAAATAAGTAAGACACGACTAGGATCATAAAAGTAGGAATCAAAATCACTAATCTGTTAGGATGAAATTGAGTTTGCATTCTACTATGTTATTTCAATTAATTTTCATATATTAAGAGTATAATCAGTATTCTCAGTATAAAATTCAACAGAAACACCACATGAAAAATAGTTACCTGAATTTGAATCTGGAAAAGACAAATAGCAAATATTGGTTTTCTGAAAAAGAAAACAAAAACTATATATGCTGACATATATACACCAATGAAAACAAACAGAAATAAAACAGTAAACTATATAGAGCAATATTTTTACTTACTTCTTTATCAGTAAGTTTGGAATGTTGAGGATAAATTACCTGGGAGAAGAAGAGTTAAATTTTGTTAGACAAATATATGGAGTATATATTGTAAACATTAGCAGGTACTTCTAAAATACTAGTCGGCTATGATCAAATTGGTTTAAGAAACAGTTCACAAATTTAACAATGAAACACAGGAGAAGCTGGGAGAATTGAGGAGGATTTACATTTGGCAAAAAAAAGTTTTGACTCAAAGTTATCTCTAAAAATTGGTGAAATTTTGAGTTATCAAGAATAATTTGAGACTTCCTTGGTGGCGCAGTGCTTAGGACTCTGCGCTCCCAAGGGGGCCCAGGTTCGATCCCTAGTCAGGGAACTAGATCCCACAGGCATGCTGCAACTAAGAGTTTGCATGCCACAACTAGGGAGTCCGTGAGCCGCAACTAAGGAGCCTGCGTGCCTCAACTAGGAAGCCCATGTGCTGCAACTAGGGAGCCGGTGAGCCACAACTAAGGAGCCCTTGAGCTGCAACTAAAGGAGCCTGCCTGCCACAAGTAAGGAACCCATGTGCTGCAACTAAGACCCAGCGCAACCAAATAAATAAATAAATAAATATTTTTAAAAAAAGAATAATTTACCAATTGAATTGCTAATAACTCAAAGGTTTTTGAGTCTTTTCTTTGGAAGCCTAAAATCTAAAGAGAACTTGATCTATAAGCTTGTAGCTACTTCAAGAAATAATAATTTTCAATTGATTCCAAGAAGTAATACAAATTACTAACTACTTATTAAAAGAAAAATGAAAAGGAAAAAACGATCATCTGCAATTTAAGAAATCTCAAAGGCCATCTTCCCACCATAAAGCCTATCCTGTTTTCCTCCAATCCTTTTAAATAGTCATAGCACTTCCCTAGATAGGTCAATTTAGTGCCTGCAGTGACCCAGCCACCTTCTGAGGGAAATTCCTGCCCCACAGCCCCACGAAGGAAGCAAGACTAGGCCAGCACAGCTCCCGTCAGAACAAGTACTAGTAAACACCAGACCCAAGGGCACCCACTCTACAGGCCAATCAACCAAGTGCCCAGATGGGGCTGGGTATGAAAATTCTGCCCAAGAGAATACCAGTGCTCAAGTGGGCCAGTACAGATTCTCTCGGGAATGTGAAGAAGAGATGGGATTCGGAGCAGCAGGTTAGCTAGTGGCTGGTAACCAAAAAGAGAGGAAACAACACAAAGTGTAGCGGAACTGCATTAATACTAGGTTGCTCTTCCAGTTCTGGAAGAATCCATGAGTTCTTCTATTCCCCAGAGTTGCCCAGGTGCCTGAAAATCTTACATTTCCAGAAATAACATACAGTAATAGCACATTATAAACTGTATTAAGGTGGTTTCACATATTTATTTCATTTATTTAGTTCTCACAGTAATAGACAAGGCTAGTAATGGTATCCCCACTTTACATATAAGAAAACTAAGGTAAGAAAAAAGATGGGGAGAATTCACATTACTGACCATCTTCTAGAGTTTTTAATTTTCACAACTCTGTCAATTCTTCACATCTTTACAGAAGAGGGGACAAGTTCACAGTAGTTAAATAACTCTCCCAAAATTTAGCATCTAGTAAGTGCCACAACCAGGACTTGAACTTAGGTCTGCCTGATTCCAAAGTACACAAGCCACCATTCCTCACTCCACCCATAGTAGCAATCATTAACTCACAAACACAGCCCTCTTCCTCCCCTAGCCAGGATGTGGCATATAATCCTTCTCAATTCAGGAGTATAAGGAGGGTCTACAGAGCTGGCATTGTTACATGAAAACCACCCAGCATTCCTGGAATAGAAAATGACACCAAAGCCAATATTCGCTCTACTTTGCTTTGTATCCCATGTTCTGACCGACCTGACTTAACCTCTGTCTCCACAATTCATGAAGGCAAGAACCTGGTCTGTTTTGTTCAACAGTCTATCTTCACACCTAGAACAGTTTCTGGTGCATAGTAGACACTAAAAAAATATTCCTTCAATCAGTGGATATACTCTCAGATTAGCTCTGTTAAACAACTCAGTATTTAGTAATATGTAATTCTTCTTTAAGTGTACATAGATCTTCCTTGCTTCACCTTGAGACCATTTTACTTTGTTACCTTTAAAGGAGAAATGGCAAAGATGCTGCGTGCCGCAACTAAGACCCAGCACAGCCAAGTAAATAAATAAATAAATAAATATGTAATAAATAAATAAAAATAAAGGAGAAATGGCAAACTTATAACCTATTTGGCCATATTCATGAAAATCTCTTTACATCTAAGTTAACCTGGAGTTTGCTGGTCTAAAACATATTGAGAAGTTTAGTGGCCTGTAACAGCTTAATCTTAGACTCTAAATTCACTTTTATGTGAATGCCCTTCAAATTTTTATTTCCTCAAATTAAAATACCAACTCAAAAGCAAATATACAAAATTCCATTTTTTATTACATAAAGATATCAACCATGGTTCATCTGGACATTGGTTTCCTAAGGTTTAAAATATTAGCAAGACAGTATAGAAGAAAAATGTTGGTATGTTTTACCCATATATATGAGTACCTTAAATATATATATATAACATGTGTGTGTATATATATGTGTGTATATGCATGTATTTAAGGGGCTTATATATGCTCAATATATTTAAGTAAGTTAAAAGGATATAAAAACTACAGAACCTATCAAATCTGTCTTTCAGGGAATTCCCTGGTGGCCCAGGGGTTTGGACTCCACACTTCCAATGCAGGGGGCCCGGGTTAGATCCCTGGACAGGGAACTAGGATCCCACAGCCGCACAGCGCAGCCCCAAAAAAACCCTACAAAAAAACAGTCTGCCTTTTAAAAACTCTGACTGTGGGACTTCCCTGGTGGCACAAGAATCCACTTGCCAATGCAGGGGACACAGGTTCAATCCCTGATCCGGGAAGACTCCACATGCCACGGAGCAACAAAGCCCATGCACCACAACTACTGATTCTGCGCTCTAGAGCCCGTGAGCCACAACTACTGAGTCCACGCGCCACAACTACTGAAGCCCATGCGCTCTAGGGCCCACACGCCGCAACTACTAAGCCCACGAGCTGCAACTACTGAAGCCACACGCCTACAGCCCGTGCTCTGCAACAAGAGAAGCCACCGCAATGAGAAGCCCACACACCACAACGAAGAGTAGCCCCTGCTCACCACAACTAGAGAAAAGCCCGTGCGCAGCAATGAAGACCCAACGCAGCCAAAAATAAAATTTAAATTTAAAAAAAAAAAGTAAAGTAAAAACTCTGATTGTACTAGACTGTCAAATAGTATCTAGAATTTCATTTTAATGTACTCTGTTAGAACTACTCAGTGTTTTATTTTGGAACAAATATGATATTCAAAAAGAAACAATGCATATTTATATGCTACAGCTACTGAAATGGCCACACTGTACCTAAGATCAGAAAAATCAGAAAAATTCAGGGACTTCCCTGGTGGTCCAGTGGTTAAGACTCCATGCTTCCACTGCAGGGGCACAGGTTCGATCCCTGGTTAGGGAACTAAGATCCTGATTGCTGCACAGGCAAAAGAAAAAAATAAACAAGTGAAAATAGATTTTTAAAAAAGAAAAAAGAAAAATTCATACTTAACTTTAAAAACATCAACTCCCTATTTAAAAAACAAAAGAAAGAAAAGTAACCACTACCAAGTATCTAGAACTGCGCAAATTGCCACAGTTACTAGAATTATTACCTGTGTACATACTTTATGTTGTTAAAAAAAAAGTTTAAATATAAGTTTGGGCAATCACTGTTAGTTTAGTTTTAGTCAGTTAGCTCCTGATAGCTATATGGGAAATAATCAACTGTGGATTAGCTCCAGTACCTGGAGATGCCTCTCACTTGAAGCTTCCTCTCTCCATAGCTCAAGTAAAGGCATCTCTATTCCCCCAACCACTGGCATTCTGGGTGGCATTAAAGGGGGACAGAGAGCATCAACTAATGTCACTCTGGTTTTGTTACCTATGTTAAGATCTCCCATGTTACAGCAAATAAGGGAGAGGTGGCCAGGTAATAACCGAAGAGAAAAGTGAGTTTTATTTGATATAATTATTAAGGCTTAAAAATGATGACATATTTCACATCATGTTACAACAGAAAAAATGTGTCTCAGAAAAATATTAATATATATACTGGAAAAGAGTATTACAAAATGGTTTAAATGGGTCTATTCAAAGGTACATTTCTCTGCATACATCTACATCTCTCTAGCATTCCCAACTCAGTATGAAAATAATCATGGTCCCAGGAGGAGGAAAATTAGAAATACCAGCTAACTTACTGCCAGTATCATTTGGACATGGGAAAAATTCATGCCTGCCATGCACCCAAGTTGTGTGTGAATGGGTGTCTACCTGATGCCATGTGACTGGGTATCTGTCTCTACTGCATGACCCTGCCTGGTGTCCCAGGCCTGACAGAGACTACATTTCCCAAGAAACCTTGCCTTGATCTCCTACAGAAACATTAACTTACAAACAAACATCATCATAACCTTGGGGACTTCCCTGTTGGTGCGGTGGTTAAGAATCTGCCTGCCAATGCAGGGGACGTGGGTTCGAGCCCTGGTCAAGGAAGATCCAACATGCTGCGGAGCAACTAATCCCGTAAGCCACAACTACTGGGCCTGCGTGCCACAACTACTGAAGCCCACGCACTTGGAGAGCCCGTGCTCCACAGCAAGAGAAGCCCGCGCAACGAAGAGTAGCCCCTGCTCACCGCAACTAGAGAAAGCCTGCACACAGCAACAAAGACCCAATGCAGCCAAAAATAAATAAGTATTTAAAAATAAAAATAATAAAAATGAAACTGAAATACTGTATTAAAAAAAAGAATTCCAACTAATAAATGCAGAAGGAATACGGAAAATAGCAAATCACTATTAGAACACCAGAGTAATAACAGTTACTACAGGAAAGATCCACTTTTGGATGCTGAAATTAGCAAGCAAATTTGAGAAACAAGATACTGCACAGTCTCAAAGTATCTCCCACAA